ATCAGTGCCTTGTCACTTTGAGTAAAGCATAAAAAGTTCACTTTCACTTAGTTCTCTTACACTCCATACTTTCTAAATACAATTGTCTTAAATGTCTTCTATATATACAGAGCACCACATGAGGAAAAGGATGGTCTATCATACTTGGCACTATTTTTACTCATTTCAGCATTGTTCTTTCCATTTTGAAGCCCCAAGCCTTCTTCTGTTATTATTTCATTTCTGTTTAGAGAAGTACCCTTAGCCGTTCTGTAAGAGTGGATTTGCTAGCAGCAAGGAAAGGAGATGAAGGGAGAAGAGAGGAGAGAAGAGTAAGAGAGGGGAGGGAAAAGGAGGGGATAGGAGGCAAAGAGAAAATGAAGAGCAAAAATAGCAGGTATAGAAAAAGCAGTAAGATAAGGAAGAGAAAGCTTGTATCTAATCTTTAACAGGATTCCTAGAGTCAGGTATTCAAAATGACTGTCTCTGTAAGCATGGTACAGACCAGATCAGCAGGATTCATATCTAATGCATCTTCATTTAAGCAAAGGTATCAGCAGAATATAGAAGCTGAATAATGCTGTTTGCAAGGCCTAGAACCCACAGAGTTTACTGCTCACAGAAGGAGTCCTCACGTGTGTGCCAGACAGAGCGGTAACCTCTGCCCTGCATTCACGTGTACAACATCCACGTGAGTTGGGCCCAAATCTATAGACTGATATTTTACCATATTCTCTTTACAGAAGTGTCTTACTGAGAACTAGAATTTCCGTCTGCATACTAAAGGCTCAAACCTGAGGTTTCAGTTTATGTTGTTTGCAGGCTGTTGGGTACACTTTTGAGTGATGAGTGTTTTGTCCTGCAGAAGGCAGGTTAATGAAATTTTATCAGCTAAAACACCACCAGGAGCACCACTGCAGGTCATGATCATGATTTAAGACACCATTTTGATTATGATATTTATGCAAACAGAAAACCCATATAACCCTGTACACATTTAACAATTTTTAATTAGACTTTTAAGTTTATGGATATGCCATTGTAAGAAGCATTACAGAAGTGCCCAGAATACCTCATACCCAGCTTTCCTCCATGATAACAACTAGCAAAACTATAGCACACCACCACAGCCAGAATGTAGACACCGGTGTCATCCACCCATCTTATTCAGATTTCCCGTTTTACTTGTTTCCTTATCTGTGTGTGTGTGTGTGTGTGTGTACATGTATGTTTTAATTCTATGTAATTTTATCACAGGTGTAGGCTTGTACCTCCACCATCCCTGTGAAGAACACAGAATGTCCCATCACCACAAGGCCCCCATGTTGTCCTCTCATAAGCACACCCACCTCCCTCCCGTCCCCAGACCCCAATCTCTAACCCATGGCAACCACTAATCTGTTCTCCATTTCTATAGTTTAGTCATTTCAAAAATGTTATGTAAAAGAAATAAAAACATTTTGGAGCAGGATACAGTGGCTCACGCCTGTAATCCCAACACTTTGGGCTGGGGCAGGCAGATCTCTTGAGTTCAGCAGTTCAAGACCAGCCTGGCCAATATGGTGAAACCTCATCTCTACTACAAATACAAATAAATTAGCCAGGTGTGGTGGTGTGTGCCTGTAATCCCAGCTACTTTGGAGGCTGAGGCATGAGAATTGCTTGAACTTGGGAGGCAGTGGTTGTAGTGAGCAGAGATCATGCCACTGCACTCCACCCTGGGCCACAAAGCAAAACTCTGTCTCAAAAAAAATGGGACTGGCTTTTTTCATTCAGCGTAATTCCTAGGACATTTATCTAAGTTGTTTGTTGTGTATACAAACAGTTCATTTCCTCTTACTCTTGAGTAGTGTGTATGACCGTGGTGTGTTGACCCATTCACCACTGATGAGCATCTGGTCTAGGCTAATTCCAGTGTGGCACTATGACAAATAAACTTGCTGTAAACATCCATGTTTTTATGCAAACATAAATTTCCATTCCTCCAGGATTCATGCCCAAAAACGTGACTTCTGGGTCATATGTTAGTTGCAGGTTTAGTTTTATAAGAAACTGCCAAACTGTTTTCCAGAGTGGCTATAACATTTCACTTTCCCACCAGCAGCATGTGAATGACGCAGGTTCCCGTGTCTTCACCAGCCTTTGGTGTGGTCACTGCTTTTCGATGTAGCCATCCTGCTGGGTATATGGTAACGCCTCACCGGAGTTTTCATTTGTCTCCCTAGTGGCTGATGATGTTGAACACCTTTTCACATGCTTATTTGCCATCTGTGTATCCTCCTCAGTGACCTATCCTTTCTTGTCCTTTGCCCATTTCTAATGGTATAGCCTGTTTTGTTACGACGTTTTGGGGGTTCTTTTGAGATATGTGGTTTGCAAATACTTCATCCTAATCTTGAGCTTGTCTTACCCTCTTAACAGAGCCTTCTGCAGAACCGAACAGTGTTTAATTCTGATGAGGGCTGATGTCTGCATTTTCTCTTTTATGATTATACTTGGCGTCACATCTAAGAACTCCCACACCATGTTCTAAAAAGGCTACCTGTCCTCTGCCTAATTCCTTTTTCACCTTTATCAGAAATCAGTTGGGACTCTGTGTGAGTCTATTTACGGGGCATCTACATTTTATAACTCAATCTCAGAGATAGGTTAGAAAATCAGGCCCCTGGGACCCAGGGGAGTGCACGTGGGCCTGCAGCGGTCTGCCTAAGCATGAGGCTCTGTGGCCTCTTCCTGATGGGCCGGGTTTGAGGACGGGCGTCCTCTGGCTCTCTCACAGCTGCCTTGGGTTCCTGGCCGCACTGCATTTTGTCCAATACAAAGCTGCCTTCTTAGGAGTCTGCCCCTTGTTTGATGGGAGAAGCAGGGTATAGAAGGGAAGCAGTGGTGGAGTAGGTGCCATCAGGAGTCAGCCAGGGGCAAAGTGTCTGCACACGGCCTCACCGCCTCTCCTGGGCCGGCCACCAGGCTCCCTTGCCCAGCGTTGCAAGCAGGTTCACTGTTCTCCCAGTTTCAGGAGCTCCGCTCCATCCATTTACGCTCCTCACCTTATCAAATGGAAGAACCCCCGCCCGCCTCCTCAGGCAGCAGACTCAGGTCTGGGTGCCTTTCCTTCCAAGCCCACGGCAGGAGAGAAAGGCAGAACTGAGGCCTCACAGGCGTGGGGATGAGACAGGACCGTCCTTCCATCGTAACTGTCCCTGAAGAATGATATGTGTGCACGCTGACTGTTAGTTCTCCAAATCGCCACGCAGAAGAGGTCTTCGGTGTTACATCAACAATGACAAGGGAACATGACATTTTAAAGGAAAAAGAAAGGATTAAAAAAGGTCGTTGCCCATGAATAAGGCAGTTTTCTCCTTGCTCAGTCTACACACAGTGAAGGCGACAGAACCGTCCATTTCAGAGGACCGTGCGGGCGGACCTAACGAGGCTGGTGCTGCAGAGCTGACCTGTGTGCTGCCTCGCTCAGCCTCACCACTGACCGGGGAGCCCAAAACCCCTCCCTGTTTTAAACCACAGGCTCTTTTCCATGTCAGATCTCGATTCCCCTTTCCTATATGAGTTTTGTTGTGTCGTTATAGATCAAGCATAAAACATAAACACAACCTTCTGACAAACGCCACACTAGTCAAAATGATTGCCTGAGTTGCAGAAGGAAACTCTAACCTCCTGAAAAAACTCGTTTCCGCATTTTTGAGTAACGCCCCTCCGTGAGATTAGCTGTCACCCGCTCAGCTCCACTTCGGGTCATTCTGGCTCCTCCACTTTTGCTCATCCTCCTCTGACAACTGAGTCACGGTTAGAAGCTTGTGGCTTTCGGCAGGAGTCAATGTTTCCTAATCTGTCCCAGCATGCCTGCTCCCCGCCAAGATGTTTTCATGGTGATTAAAATAGATCCAGCTCAATCTCGAACACACAATTCAGGCTACAAACTAACCTGCTGACAGGGAAGAGAAGTCAGAGAAAGGCAGGGGCTGAAGGGTCAGCAAGCCGGGAGCACAGCTGGTTTTTATGGGTAGGCAACTTGAGAGGCCGTAGGTGGAAGGCTCTGCTTCCATCCAGCCGTCTTCTACAAGATCTAAGTGGAGTGAGCGACCCAGGCTCCCACACCACAGTGCTCCACAGAGACCCGCCCAGTGACAGGGGACTGAGAGTATGCGAGGGAATCTCTGGAATCCTGGACAGCAACACATTCAGTATGAAAGATCAAATACCTGATCTTCAGTATAAAAGATCAGGTATTGCTTAAAAGATACAAAGTTGAATTGATTCCATCAAAATAAGATTTGTTGAGTATCTTGTGTTCTAGGACAAAGCATAGTCTCTGTGCTCTGGGAAGATTAAAATGCATTCAGGGAAGCAAAAACCCAGATAAATGAGTGCCATTCAGCATAAGGTGTTCTGAGTATGGGGCCGGAGAGCCATGACCAGATCGTAGGATTTGATCAGGAATTCAAATGCAGCAGCACAATGAAATCTCAATTCTTGTTCCTGCAATCCCAGTCAAATTACAGGATAATGCTTGTTACCTTTGACCAGAAAGACTTTAAATACCAAGAAGCAAAATAGAGGTCCCAGGCTCATTGAATTCTGGCCCCTTCTTCCCTTGTTTTTCCAGCTGTAATAAGGCTTGGACGCACGCACCCCGGACGTGCGCTAGAAGAGTCTCACTCTTCTGTTACAGTGATTAGGTTTTTTCATCCAGCTGCTAAATGCTAGTGGAGATCTTAGGGTGAAATTTCAGCTTTACAAAAAAAAGTCACAGTTGATGTTCCTTAGAACAGCTGGTGTTTCTCCCCACGTACTCCCCGGTGGCCACAGCTCCAATTGGTGGCTAGCCTTGTCTTCAGACATCTCGGGGCAACCAAAATGTGACAGGATGACAGATCGTCCTCTCAATGGACACTGACAAACAAATTAGTGCAAAGATGCTTTTCGTGGCGGAGCAGATGTGTTGAGCTCCATCACATGGAACAAGCAAGGAGAAGCTGTCCGTGCCCCATCTGTGCCTCTTACTTTTTATTTCTCTCTCTCTTTCTTTTTTTGCAATCTCCTGATGCGCCATCATGACACACAAAGCAAAGCACCAAGCTTCCATGGGCACTAAATGAGCACTTTGGGGGCTGGCGGCAATGCCCTGTCCTCAGCTTTCTTGGGACATAATCCAGGAAATCAGACCACTCAGCAATAGAACTCTCCAGGGGTAGACGGAAGTCATTTGTAATTATCTGTGAGAATCCACACTTTGCGTCAGTAAACCCAAGGAAGAGGCCTCGGAGCACGCCACCCCGCACCGTTTTGGGAGCCGTGGCTCTGACATGGGGTCCAAGAGGGGTGTTCAGCCTTTCGTCTTGCTGTCACATAGGCCCACAGAGCGTCCATTAGGTCAGGTCAGGTGTGTAGCCCTAAACGCCTCTTACCCCCAAAGCCACAGAAAAAACCTTCATATCCTCCTATCCTTCCTGAGATCAGATCAATCAGCAAAGTCTTTGCAGACCTACTGCACATATGTTGGACCTATTGTATACATAGTGGACCTACTACATACATGTTGGACCTACAGCACACATAGTGGACCTACTGCACACATGGTGGACCTACAGCACACATGGTGGTCCTACTGC